TCCAGATCACTCTGACCCTCAGAGATCACGTAGTGCGTCTGGAGGGAAGAGAGGGTTTTTATTTACGTAACCGACCAGGAAACAAAACAACGGCATACAGTGGGGGAAATAAGTGTTTGAGCCCTTGCTGATTTAGCAGGTTTGCCCACTTACAAAGAATGCAACGATCTATAACTTTAATCATATGTACATTCTAACAGTGAAAGACAGAATCCCAAAGAAAATTCCAGAAAATCACATCATATGAATTTATAAAAATTGATAACCATCTGATGAGGAAAAATAAGCATTCTTTGTAAGTGGGCAAACCTGCAAAATCAGCAAGGGCTCAAATACTTATTTCCCCCACTGTAGACTTAGACTTCCTTTATTGTCATTGTAAAAAACACAAGGTGAATCTTGACAACGAAATGTGGATTACTTGGCTACCAGTGTGACAGAGCTAAGACCTTATTCCTACACAATAAATATGTTTTCTATATCTAAGAGCTAGATATATACAGGGTAAAGAAGCATATACAGTGAGGGAAATAAGTATTTGAGCCCTTGCTGATTTTGCAGGTTTGCCCAATTACAGAAAACATACTAATAACCTTTTAAGAACCATGGACGTGGTCCTCCTGTTATTTTATTCTTCGGGATTTTTAATTAAAAAACGTTTCTCCACTAATAATAATAATAAAAATAACAATAATAGTACATTTTATTTTGAAAAGCACCTTTTATGCCACTTAAGGACACTTCACAAAGACGATCATCATTAAAACAACATGGAAACATAAGAAACATACTAATAACCTTTTCTGAACCATGGATGTGATTCTTATGTTGTTTTATCTCCGGGATTTTTAATAAAAAAATGGTTCTCCACTAATAAAAATATTAATAATAATAACAATAATAGTACATTTTATTTTGAAAAGAGCCTTTCATGCCACTCGAGGACACTTAACAAAAATGATCATCATTAAAACAACATGGAAACATAAGAAACATACTAATAACCTTTTCAGGACCCTGGACGTGGTGTTTATGTTGTTTTATTCTCAAGGATTTTTAATTAACTCAACTTTATTTATAAAGCGATTTCAGTCAGCCAAAGCTGAAATCAAAGCTAAGCTGTATAGGCCATTTGAGCAGATCATAAAACACAATTATCACCACAACACAAGACAAACTCAAAGATTAAAAACAGTAAGAGCAAACGAAAATAAAAATAAGAAAAAAAAAACCAAGTAAGAGAGGGAAATTAAGACAACTAAGATAAAGTGGAAGTCTCACTCAAAGGCCTGAGAGAAACAGTGGGTCTTTGAAAGGGTTTTAAAAGAGTTGAGTGTAGGGGTTAAACAGCTAACAGCCCAGATGTTAAACAGCTAATAACCCAGATGTTTACAGATGTTAAACAGCTAACATCCAGATGTTTAACAGCTAACAACCCAGATGTTTAAAAGCTAACTACCCAAATGTTTACAGATGTTTAACATATAAAAACCCAGATGTTCAACAGCTAACAACACAGATGTTTAACAGATAACAGCCCAGATGTTTACAGATGTTAAAGAGCTAACAGTCCAGATGTTTAACGGCTAATAGCCCAGATGTTCTCAGATGTGTAACAGCTAACACCCAGATGTTTACAGATGTTTAAAGGCTAACAACCCAGATGTTTAAGAGCTAACAACACAGATGTTTACAGACGTTAAACAGCTAACAACCCAGATGTTAAACAGCTATCAACCTAGATGTTTACAGATGTTTAACAGCTAAAAACCCAGATATTTAACAGCTAACTACCCAGATGTTCACCGATCTTTAACAGCTAACAACCCAGA